CTGGCATAATAGGCAACCAAGGAGCTGACGCCTGCACTCGCACGGCAGCCCTTACAGACACCGCTTGCTAGCTTGTTAATTAGGGGACCTTCCCTTAATGCACGCAGCCTCTGGCCTGCGTGGACTTTCCTTTTCTCGTCTTTTCTTTTCTTTTCTTGTATTTTCTTTATTTGTCTTTTCTTTTCTTTTCTTTTCTTTTCTTTTCTTTTCTTTTCTTTTCTTTTCTTTTCTTTTCTTTTCTTTTTTTTTCTTTTCTTTTCTTTTCTTTTCTTTTCTTTTTTCTTTTCTTTTCTGTTCTGTTCTGTTCTGTTCTGTTCTGTTCTGTTCTGTTCTGTTCTGCTCTGTTCTGTTCTGTTCTGTTCTGTTCTGTTCTGTTCTTCCCTTTTCTTTTCTTTTCTTTTCTTCTCTTTTTTTCCTTTTCTTTTCTGCTCTTCTCTTCTCTTCTCTTCTCTTCTTTTCCTTTCTTTTCTTTTCTTTTCTTTTCTTTTCTTTTTTTCTTTTCTTTTCTTTTCTTTTCTTTTCTTTTCTTTTTTTTCTTCTTTTCTTTTCTTTTCTTTTCTTTTCTTTTTTTTCTTCTTTTCTTTTCTTTTCTTTTCAGACACCACATACATCGTACTTCCAGATGCCAGGGACCCATTCCACAATTTCCACTGGCTCTCATTGAAGACCTCTCACACACGAAATGCTGGCATGCACAGCTCCCATGTTCCCAATCCAGTATCTGAACAACCTGAATGACAAACTGAAAGAACACATGCACAAAAAGCACAAACTTGGTTGTGCTGCTACTTCTGGCTACCATTACAATAGATGGCAGAAGCTCAACTCTGCCTCATCATCTGCTTCCCCAACCACCTCAGTCAACATCCCAGCTCACATTCCAGACTGTCAACTTGCTAACAAGGAAATCAGCAACTCTTCTGGAAAAATCCTAAGATTACCCTAGTACAGCAAACCAATGTGATTAAGCATTGAGCACACTGTATACACAAAAACATGCCTTCAGGTTCGACTTTCCTTCCCACTTCTGTAAGGTGCCCACTTTGTGGTAATGAGGACAACGTTGATAACATATTCCTCAGGTGTACCAACTCCACAATGAGAGTAAATCACACCAACAGACATCATGCAGGCCTTAGTCTATGTGTATGAGCCCTCAGTAAAGGCCAGTTTGGCCTATCCTTTATTGGTATTGATGGCTGCGTTATGAGTGGCTCCAGGAACAGGGCATGCAAGTCCCTGAAATCATAACACGAAACATTCCTGATTGGTAATTTCCTAATGGTGATGGCTCTTCAGTCCGCCACCAATGTTGCCCAGGTGCTATCTTTGTGCGCTACTAGGTATAGTATACCAAGTCGACCAGTCCAGTTCATCTGGATCCCAGATTGGGACAGAGACACCCACCTTGTTGAAATTCCATCCTGACTCCAACCTCTTCGTACTTTGGAACGTGCAGCAGCTCGACATTCTCACACTATGATCAGACTTAAATCCCGTAGCTCAAGAAATCCAAACAGGAATAACAAAGTGACTCGACATATCATCTTAAATGGTGTGGCTGGCACTATTTACAATGAATATACAATCAAACCCCGTATGAATCTGGGCCTTACTGAGCACAAGCTGAATAAGTAGCAAAACAGCTTAGGTGCCATGCCATAAAAAAAGAAGAAGAAAAAGAAAAGTCTACACAAGCCAAAGGCTGCGTGCATTAAAGGAAGGTCCTCTAACTGGAAAGCTAGAGGCCTCACCAGAAGGCCCTCAAAACCTATACTAACCACAGCTATCCTAGGAGAGAGCCAGGAGCAGATCTAATGTGGATCTGGAGGGTTGTTTGCCATGCCTCTGGACGCCCAGACTCTCCTTCTCCCATCCTCCGCCGCTGCACGCCCAGCAAACGCCTCCCAGAAGCCCCCTGAAAACAAAGTGCATGTCTTGTGTTAATGATAGTGGTTAATCTTTGAATGGCATGGTCCCTAAGTTTGGATGCTAGCGATTTGGCTTTTTGTTTAGTAAGGCAAAGATCCATAAGAGGTGATATTGTACACTCATTATAAATGGTGCCAGTCACACCAATCAAGACAACGTGCAAATTCACTTAGTTATTCCTGTTTGGACTTCTTGAGCTGCGGGTTTTAAGCCTAGCCATGGTGTTAGAATGTTGGATTACTGCACGTCCTATAGTGATGAAGGGATTTGTGTCGGGACAGAATTTGAGTACTACAAGGTGGATGCCCCTGTCTTGAGGAGGGATCTCGGAAGGATCAAGGTGAATTTGTCTGCCTGGAATAGGGCGCACAAAGATGGCGTTAGGGCGGGTTTGGTGCCGGCCAAGGGAGCCAGTACCATTAGGGAAAACCCAGTCTGGAATAGCTCTTGATATTTTTGCAGGGACTTGCATGCCCTGATCCAGGAGTCTCTCGTTACTGCAGCCATCCATACCAATAAGGGATGGGGCATACCGGCCTTTACTAAAAGCTTTTATACAAAGGCTTAGGGCTATATGGTGGCTGTTGGTGTGCATCCCGCTCATTATTGATTGAGTTTGTACACCTGAGGAGTATGTGGTCAATGTGGTCCATATCATTACATAGTGGGCATCTCCCAGAACTGGAAAAGTTGAATTTGAAAGCATAACTCAGACTGTTTAGTGTATCTGTATGATACTCTATTATATTTATTTGCTGTTTAAGGGTAAATTCTGGATATTCCCAGAAGGAATTGCTGATCTCTTTGTTTGCAAGTTGAGAGGTTGGGTTGCATGATAACGTGTTTGCTCCGGTAGTTGATATGGCATCATTAAGGTTCTGCCATCTCTGGTAGTGGTAGCCAGAGGTGTCAGCAGAGCTAAGCTTGTGCTTCTTGTGCATGTGTGCTTCAAGTTTGTCGTTCAGGTTGGTGAAGTAGTGCATCAGGAAAGCGTGGGAGCGGTGTATGCCATCATGCCGTGAGGAGGAGGTCTTCAATGAAAGCAAAAAAAATTGTGGAAGGGGTCCCTGGCATCAGGAAATGCAATGTCTATGGTGTCTGAGAGGGCAGCAATGCGAGCGCGAGCATCAGCCCCCTCATTTTCTGAATTGCCAGAGTGGGCTCTGATTTTGTAGGAATGGATAGGGTGAGGATTTGGTGAGAATATTCAAGAATATGGGTCGAAATTCACCGGGGTAAGGACTGTACCGTAGCTCCACAACCACTTCAAATATCAATTACTTTTAGAGGCTATTTTGATCACCCCTATTAATGCCCAAACCTACTCCCAATAGTGTTTCTCCTATCCATTCACAACACGCTTTGTGCATGTCCACAAGGAGGCCACCAGAACTAGCCGCTTGAGGCAATCCCATGAACATTATGCGAACCAACACCGTGTGCACCTAATAGAAATAAAATTCTGTGAGGACACATGGCCAGAGCATCAATCGAACATGGCAAAGCAGCAGCATGCAAACCTATATCAACTTATTAGCGCTAAAGCTGTTACAATTCACCCTATTCTCCTGGGTGTTGATGGAACCATTGACACTGAGCATACCCTGAAGAAATTCAAGCAACTAGGACTGGACCAACAACGTGCCACTAAGCTTGCTCAACAACTTCATGCCCTTTCTTTTAACTATGCCCACAAACGCAACGTGCTATCAAAAACAAGAGTACTTCCCACTGCCAGGTTCTTGAGCCAGGTGCTTCTCCTGACCCTCCAAATCCCCATGAGCCTACCTTAACTCAAATTTTGTGGTGGAAGGGACTCCCGGCTCTTTATGAGCTAATGTATCTCCTTTTCCTCATTTGATGTAGGGAAGTTTTTTTTCCTTTCTGGAGCTAAAGTTCGAAGGTTATAATTGGTTTTTGTTAATTGTCAAGCGTTCAAACTTTGCTTGACTTGGAAAATTTATTTTGGAGCTAGAAAGGGCCGATGCTGAAAATGGCCTCGCATGCACTAAGAACGCGCAGTCTCACGGGGCAGTGCTTCATGGGTGCATATTCCCCTCCCTTTTGTGGCCCTCTCTCATGCAACTCCATTTTTGAACAGAGCTTTTCTTGTCCAGTGTGCCACAAAGCTTGCTCAACAACTTCATGCCCATTCTGTTCAATATGCCCACAAAGAGACACAAACTTGTCTCTAAATGCCATGTTATTGAAAACAAGAAGACTCCCACAGCCAGGTTCTAGAGCCAGGTGCTTCTAAGTATAGCTTTCTCTTTTTCATATTTGGTGGTGGAGGGGGCACACGGCTCTTTTTTGAGCCAATGTGTCTCCTTTTCCTTAATTGATGTAGAGAGAGTTTCTCTGCGTACTTGGTTACAAGCCGCTGCCAATAGGCAAAGCAGCCAAGAAACAAGGCACCATGGCAGCACAGCACAGCGACGAGCTTGGCTCTAAAGAGAGTTTCCAGGGGTTTGCGAAACGTGAGTCACTCAGTCACTCAGCGTGCACAGATCTTGTAACTATGACAAAAGCCCTCTGTAATCTCACAAGCGCCACTGCAAATGTAACACTTGACCCCGGCTGAACCTCGTGCACTTGTAACTTTACGGAAATGCTTTTGAATACCTCAATGAAGCATTGTATATAAAACAAGAGCATCCTCGGTGTAACCTCAGATGTAGCGAGAGCTGTTCTAAATCAACAAGGCCGAAAGAGCAGTGCTCACAGCATCAGGACAAAGTCATGTAGCCAAGGGGCTTGCGTCCTTGAGGCAATTGCATACTTGGCAAAGCATGAACACTTACTCAGGCACTCAGAGGCTCAGATTGCAACTTTTCTTGGATTACAAAGATTCATCAGCAGCTTGTCTCTCTGATTTTCCTTTCCTTTTTCTCTTCTTCTCCAGTCATGTGCAGCTTCCTGGCGCAAGGACTCTTGGTATTAGCACCACCTCTAACAGTTTCGGCAGGTCTCCTACAGTTGGGACTGGATTTGAGGGAATCCATAGGATGAGCTGGCCAACACGTATGGCATCAATCGAACGATTCAACCTCCACATGCATAGAGCAAAATGACGTTGGCGGGATTCGAACCCGCGCCCGAAGACCAGTGTATCAAGTTTTGTTACCTAAAACTGGCACCTTAGACCGCTCGGTTACAACGTCATGTGACGCTGACACTCGATTTTTAATTATTAAATAAATTATTAAAGATTTTTCGGACCTCGGTCACACCATTCTCGTTGAATGATAATTTCTTATCTGAATGAGAATTTCTCATTTGAATATCTGAGATGATGTCACGTTCTTGCATGTGTCACATTCAGCCGACTTTTAATTGAGGGGCTCCGCTGGCCCAGATTTCGCTTAAGCTTTCAATGTTTGGTTCATGTTCCTCTGTCTCCATTTCACCGCAGACACCCCTCCTCCATACGATCAACTCACTTTCTGGATTTGAGTATTCTAAGTTTAAAGAATATTGTGTTCGAAATTTTAGGACCTCGGTCACACCATTTTCCTGAGAATGAGAATTTCTCATCTGAAAATCTGAGATGGTGTCACGTGCTTGCATGTGTGATATTCAGCCAACTTGTAATAAAATGATCGCAAGAAGAATGCAACCTTGCAAAAGACACACACACACACCGCAATGACAGAGTCACATTGCACACCATACTCATTGAGCTGTTGGAACTATCTTTCATCCCAGAGGGGGGCAGCTAGCCAATTTGCCAGACATGCTCTTTGCCAACTTTCTTTCTTAAATCCGATCATGCCAACCGTTTTAATTCCATAAAACATCACGTTCACCAAAATTTCATGAAAATCAGAGGTTCCCAGATCACTCTCCTGGCCCAGATGTAACAATTCAAGAGTGATTCTGAATTGTAACTCAATCTGGGTCACACCTTTGACCAGCTAAGTAACCGCAAGGGAATTATCCCCGGACAGATTGCAGGGCGGGACACTTCTACATTACATAGAAAACTTCGTCCGCCGGAGAGTCTGACGTGAGCACGCGCGAGTGGGGCGTGCCATTGCATCTTCTCTGCACACGCACATTTAGACACACACTCCAGGTATGTCCTAGCAGCTCCTCTCTCTTGCGCTCACGCGCTGCTAGCACACTGCCTGTTATATTTGGCACCGAAGCCACCGATTCTCGGGGCCTTTGCTTTCACTGGGCCCAACACCACACGAACTCGACGAACATCACGTTTGTCCACAAGGGGCGCTCTTTGCGTTCCACCCTCCCACCCTGCACGTTCGAGCGCGCCTGCTCATCGTGAAGCCGTGACTTTTGTTGCGCATTACCTTGCTGCTCTCGGGCAACTCCTTGTGTCGCAACCTGCCTGCACACACATTGCTACCACATCTTCGATTCGACTCCGAAACGGGCTCCCTTCTCACTTCCTCTGCCCTGCACGGCGCAGATATCTCCTCGCGTGCCTGACTTGCCTAAACCACCTGTCTTTGCTGGTCACCACAATGACATTGTGGAAGACAAATTGTTCATCTTTGAAAATTAGCTGAAAAGTAGCAACATTCCTAGGGAGCGTTGGACCAACTACATCATGCCCCTGGTACCTGCGTCATCTCGTGCTTTCTCTTCTCCCAAGCCTTCTCACTACCCTCACAAATCCTCCCGTGTTGCTTTTGCACAGGCTTCCAAAAAGCCGAGGAACCTACAAACCTATGAATGGAGAAGGAGAAATAAAAAAGGCCCAGGAAGATAGGCCTGGGTCCTTGCTCACAAACCATGGTGACTCATCTTTGCCCAATGCTCCTTGTGTGGATTTTCCATTTGCACTTGGAACCTTTTCTGCACGAGAACTGCTGAGTCCCAATGGTTTTGTTCATGTTGCTGCAAAACTGCCCTGCTTTGCTGCAAGTGACTTGTCTCTTCGTAGCTTCCTATCTAGTGATATCTGTGGGTGCAAGTATCTTCTAGCTGCTCCAACCTCTCAGGTCACTCAAACCCTAGAGCACTACAAACAATGCAAACTAGGTAACCCTTATGCACGCACCTCTTTGTGCATACTCATTCAGCAAAGCAACCCTAAGTTCCTCACTGAAGGCAGCCAGCCTTTACTTAAGGACATGAGCCAGATCTCTTGTGAACTGCCAGGCTATGCCTTCTACCATGACCTTGCAGACGTACCAGAAAAAGAACACTCAAAGTTGGGCACTGCAAGCTCTTCAGAAAAACCTTCCATGATTTTTGAAGGGTCAGCAAATGGTGCCTAGCAACTTTCTTGGCAGACACGGGAGCAACTCATTGCTTCCTTGACAAATCTTTTGCCAGATCTTATGGCTTCAAGCGAAGTGCAGCGAACATTCAAGTACATTTAGCTGATGGCTCGACTCAGTTTACAACTGCACTTACAACTGATCACCTCAACATCCAGGGTCACACAGCCTCAGTCCAGTGCTACATAATTGACATGCTAGGACAATTTGATGTGATCCTAGGTGACACTTGGTTAATCAAGGCTGGTGCAGTATTAGACTACCCCAACAAAACTTGTACAGTCCAAAGAAAAGGACAAATGCATACACTCTCACCTATGGTGCAAGACACTCCAACTTCATCTAGCCATGTTAACTCTGTGCTACTAAATGCACTTCAAGTTAAAAGATGTCTTCGACAAGGAGCAAGATCTTTTATGGTCAAAGTTACTGACTCTGGAATTCAGCCTGAACCTACAGAATCAAACTTATCTCCACAGATGCAAAGCCTCATAGACGAATTCAAGGATGTCTTTTCACCCATTCAAGACTTACCTCCATTTAGAAACACTCGACACAAGATACCAACAGAACCAGGTTCCAAGCCGCCTTTCCGCCCTATGTTTAGGCTAAGCCCTAAAGAACTCGAAGAAGTTGAGAGGCAAGTGGCTGAACTACTTAAGCTTGGATTAATTGAGCCTAGCTCCTCACCCTATGGTGCTACAGTGCTCTTTGTTGGCAAAAAGGATGGGACTCTCAGAATGTGCATCGACTACCGAGCACTTAACACAATCACAGTCAAAAACAAGTACCCACTGCCTAGAATTGACCAACTAATGGACTCTCTGGCAGGTGCAAAAGTCTTCACAAGCTTAGACTTGCAATCAGGCTACCACCAGATCCGCATCACACCTGAGGATGTAAGCAAAACTGCTTTTCGAACACCTTTTGGACACTATCAATTCAAAGTCCTCAGCTTTGGTCTTACCAATGCTCCAGCAACCTTTCAAGCAGCTATGGATGACATGCTAAGACCTCTCCTTGGCAAGTTTGTGGTGGTTTACATTGATGACATCCTCATTTACAGCAAAAATGCTGACGAGCATGCCTCACATGTTCGCCAAGTCCTTGAACTTCTTCGAACCAATCACTACCACATCAAACTTCCCAAGTGTGAATTTGAACAGCAGGAGGTCAAATTCCTTGGTCATATCATTGGTGCTCATGGAGTTAAGGTAGACCCAGCCAAAGTAGCAGTCATCAATGAATGGTTGCGTCGAACTAATGTTCATGGTGTCCGCTCCTTTGTTGGTTTAGCAACCTACTTCAGGAAATTCATTGAAGCCTTTTCAAAAATGGTTTCACCCCTCACTAACTTAACAAGAAAGGATGTTCCTTTTATTTGGGATGCTGCATGTGAAGCAGCCTTCCTTGCTGTTAAACATGCCCTTACAAATGCTCTTGTGCTGGCCTTGCCTGATTTTCTCCTACCTTTAGTTGTCGTATGTGACGCTTCAAAAGAAGGCATTGGAGCTGTGCTCCTACAAAAACAAAGACCTTTAGCATATGAAAGCAGAAAGCTACGGCCAGCAGAGGTTAACTACACCACAGGTGAACAAGAACTGCTAGCTGTGGTGCATGCGCTTAGAATTTGGCGTTGTTATCTCGAAGGGCCACACTTTACTGTGGTTACTGACCACAATCCTCTTGTGCACTTACCATCTCAACCAAACCTCTCAGGCAGACAGATTAGATGGTCAGAGTACTTGCAACGATTAAATTTTGACTGGGCCTACA